ATTTATCATTTTTAAACGTGCTTGGGCGACTCAGAGGAGTTAGATGACTGTACTGAGTATGGTGGGTCTATGACTATGCATATGTCCGGTTGTTATTGGTTAAAATCCTGGCCAGAAGTGTTGTGAACCGGGGGGGGGGGAGAAGTGGTAGCAGACCTTGATGGGGTTCCGGTCCTGCCAGCAACTGCGCCCTCTCCCACCTCCGGTTTTTTTGACTCTGTCTTAGCGCCGGGCCCAAGTGAGGGGAGGAGGGAGTGTGATAGATGCTGTGCAAGTCTACTCTCACTGTGAACTAATTCATGCAAAAGTCACTATGTCTGCTCTGATTATACTGTAGGACACACGATGAACATTGTCGGATGCGACGGTCTTACAGTAGGTGTGCTAACTCATGCTCCAGGCGTTTCACACTTCGAGGCTGGATATGACTGGCTGACGACGGCTAATAAGCCAGAAATTGCCATTCCAGTCCCCCTTGTCTTTGTTGGTAATAACATTCTGCCTATATCATGCGCCGCTGTGCGACTGCTGGGTGGGCTCGAGAGAGAGAGAGCCTGTAAGGCACAAGGGGACGAGTGCGTTCCGTAGAAACGGTCGGTGGGCGTCCCCTCTACCATCATGACAATTCAAGAGTTAGCACAAAAATCCTTATAACGTAAAGTCCACCCAAACTGCGTTTCCCAAAATCTTACGGCAGTAAAGAAAAAAAAGAGGACATAATTGGATTTATAAATTAATGTTTACTATCGCAAAAATAATTGCTTTTAACTAAAAACTAGAATTTCAGAAAATGACTATATTGTTAATCGCTCAAATAGGGCAAATGTATGGGTGCAATATGATGGGGGACGCATGAAATGGGGAAAATAATGAAAAATAATGACGAATAGGAAGGATCAGTACTTTGTTGATTGTCCATTTGCATTTATCGCAGCAGAATGCCCCTCATATATCGAGATGACCAGGCTGTCTATAATGGATTGTTCATTGTGATTGTCTAGCACAAAATTAAGTTTTTCTTGCATTAAAAGTTTCTCATTCGTCTCATGCTAACGTCTCTTGATAATCCGGGCTGTTAGTAGGGATAAATATCGACTGGAGGCCGCACATGCGAAGAGGTTGTCAGTTGTCTAAAATGTCAGCTTACGTTTGAAACCTTTATTAGATGAATACTTTTTAGAACGATGGACAGGTTCATTGCCATGT